GAAACATTATTGGTAATTTTTTTCTTTTTTTAATTGCATATGGACTCCTTTACAAAATGTAAAATTACAGGTTATGATAATTGATATATTTGACTTTTACTCTTTGACTAAAGTAGCCTCATCATTACAAAATGGACTTAAGCTTGTACAGATATTGCTATAAATATCTCTCATAATATCCAACTCACATTTTTATTTTATATATATATATATATAAACACACACTGGCTACTTAAGTGCACATGAACAAATGCTCTTTTATGCAAATTTCTAACCAGACAATGTGGCAGCAATTTAATGGATTGCTATAATTTAAAGATTGTCATGAAGACCTGCAGAATTTAATTTCAGGCATTAGTATGAGAAAGAAGTGATTTAAATGACTTTGAATATGGCATGGTCATTGGTGCCAGATAGGCAGGTCTGAGTATTTCAAAATCTGCTAATCTACTAATATGATCATGCTTAATCATTTTAGGGTTTAAAGAGAAAGGGCAGAAAATTTCAGTGAACTAGAATTCTGTGGATGGAAATCCATTGATGAAAGTGAGTGCAACAATCAGATGATAGGGCCCAAATTTGGAGTAAACCTGAAAGTATGGATCCTGTGGTTCAAGCTGGTGGTAGTGTAATGGTATGGAGAATATTTTCTTGGCATACATTGGGACTCTTGGTATCAGTAAAAGATCATTTAAATGTCACAGCCTACCAACATTTGCCTCAATGGCTACAGTGCATCCATCCCTTAGTGGTTGCTTCTAGCAAGAAAATGCACCACATCATGAATAAAAAAAAAAATAGTAGCATATTGGTTCATGAAAGACAGCAATATATTTTGTGTGTTAAAGTGTCTTTCACATTCACAAGATCTCAATCCCTTAGAGCACTTTTGGTATGCAGTGGAAAGTGAAATTCAAATCCTGGATGTGCAGCCAACCAACCAATCTAGAAGAATTGCAGGGTTCCATAATTTTGAAAATGTTTCCAGAACATTGTCAAATTTATTCCAAGAATTGAGACGTTCTAAAGGCAAAATGATGTCCAAACCAATACTAGAAGAGTATACCTAATAAAGTATGTGTGATATGAGAGAAAGCGACCTTATATTACCATGAGAAATGGGCTGAGTGCTGTTTTATTAGAATACTTAATGCTTTGACAATATTTACAGCCCAAATTGAAGCTCTTATTTATGAAAAGCCAAGACATGTTTTGACTCTTGCTTAACAACAATCAGCAAATGAGCATATTAATAAATATTTCCATTCTGTTTATAGCATATTCAGTATTTCTTTTAATTAAACAAAGAAAATCTTTCAATTTTACTGAAAATGAATTGAAAGCCAAAAGGTTTACATAAATGAAAGTGTTAAATGAAAATTATAATCTTGTAAATTTTTACAGAACTTGCTTTATTGTAGAGGGTACATCAACATCATTTGAAATATTTTGGTTAAGCCACATAATTTTTATTTGGTGAAAATAAGCAAAATCTTTGAGATTCAGAATCAATTGATGACAGGTTTATGAAAATGTGTTTAATTATTGTTTTACAATTAAATTTACCAATATATTTCCTAATATAATTTTAAATAAATTTAGGTAATCAAATCTATGCTAAGCATTTGAGATACAATGTTTACCATACAAGATTTGATTAGCTGAATTTTTAAAGAGAATCAAAATTAATGTATATTTGTGTTTGACATTGATGTAATTATTACCTTACTATACTTTGCTGTTTGGATCAGCATACCCATCTTAGTTGTTATACTTGCATTTCAGCCATTGTATCCTCTGACCTACTTCATGTGTCTGTTTTCATACTTGGTAACCTACTTGAAATTTCAAACTGAACCCTTTTTTTCAATCCACAGGGATAGATTATTCTCATTCTGCTTTCCATACTTAAGGATACTCACTATACTATGGTTCAATGGAAGAAACAAATAAGTTAAACTAAGGTAAATATCCTTCACTTTAGTGTTGTTTGTTTCTTCCATTGAACCATAGTATGTCCTACCAAACCCTGAGCTTGAACACAAAACTGTCAGGGAACCCTATAAGTATTGTTTAAAACCTATATGATTCCCTGGTAGTTGTGAGCACAAAAGGACTTTACAAAATATGCCATCAATTTTGATAGTATGGGTAAACTAGTTATAAATTAATTGGAATGGTTTAATATGAGCATCCTTTTACTAATAAGGCAAAACAAACAAAATCTTGTTGTACTGCTGATCTTGTTTGTAATGTCATTAGGTTTGATGAAATTCATTAGTTAAATATTACATATGAATTGAATGCTATTATAGTTATTGTTCTTTGGTTGAGTGAACAATAGATAAAAATTGTGATGCAAAGAAGCCAGCTGAGAAGCAATGAATAGGGCCAACAGAAAAACATTGACTGCACACAAATTTGCAGGAGATTGGTTGTAATATTTATATCCTTGAATTGAGTTCCGTTGTTCCAGTTGTCATTTTCGGATCCCCTGTCTCCCTACCACCATCATATTTCCTCTCCTCCCACAGAGTCAAGTAAATATCTGTTGTCAGTGTGCATAATGTATGTATTAGCAGATAGTTGTAGTGTCAGAGACACAGTCTTGTTTCTTTACTCTCTTTTCTGTAAGCCTCTTCTGCTGCCATTAATGTCAGAGAGAAAGGATTGACCGCAGCTGTGAAAGTTGGCTGAAATTGTCCGTCACAAAGGCTAGAATATTACTAAGCATCTCTAGATATATTATTCGGCTTGCTACGCTTGCTGAATTACTAATGAGCCAAACAATGCAGTAGACATTTAGTCAATAGCAGTTAGATCTGTTAGAATGTATGCGGACTGTCTGAGCTTTTTCAAAGAAACTGGCCAAGCAGTGAGTGAGAGACTGCCTGTTGCTGGTGTCATCAGCAGCCAGAATCCTTGACGCCGATTACTGAAATCAGAGAAATGTTTAGAAGATCAATACAAATAGATTCATTCATGCCACTGCTCTTCAACTGTTCACATGTGGTGGTGGTGGTAGATTGAGAGGTATTGGCATGGCTAGGCTTCTTGCTTTGCATTGTTTGGATGGCACACTTTATTGCTAGCTTGCCAGCTTTAATAGCTTAGAATTGCTAATAGCTTAAAAAATATACTTATCACATTTTTATATTTGATGCATCAAATCAGCTTATCTTTAACTCAGTTACAATTTATTGATTTATTCATCAATGAATTGGTTTATCTGAAGTGAAAAGAGGTAAAATTCACTAAGGATTTAAAATAAAATTACCTTAACTTCTGACTGAAAAATTTTTTTCCTGATCTTTTCATCCTTTATTAATGCAATATTACATTTCAACTTTATAAATATTGTATCCCTTGTTTTTTCTTTGCTCATTTTTCAAATTATTCATTGATTGTTTTGAGCTGTGGGAATTCTAATTACACATTCAAGGGTCAGCAAAATATTTACTTTCACATGCAAGTATTTCCAAATACCTTAATGTACTTTGATGAAAAAAGAAAATATTCTCTATGTCACACTATATATATATATATATATATATATATATATATATATATATATATTCTGTTAAAGACATCTGACAAGGTACTGTGAATAAACATGTGAATGTTATCAACTTATATTTTTTTCTTTTTGTACATGAGCATTTTTGAGGTAATAATTTATCATTTTATTACAATGTACTCTAAAATCTATCTTTTGTTGAAACAGTCTGTTTCCAAATGCCTGCACATTATATTGATAACTTGACGAGAAATTAGTTGTATTGATACAATCCCTTCACAAATTTTCAAGTTCTTTGCTAAGAATATGGCTTCAGTCAGTGTTTTATGCCTGCTGTGCTTTCTGTCTGTGAATGTTAGCAAGTGGTCTGTAGCATATGGCATAATTGCAAGACATTAGGAAAACATTGTTTTCCTGTCAAACTGACTCAATATAAAATAACAATAATATGTATCCATGTTATTGTTCCATCTGCTAATGTTATGGTTATGAAAAACTTCTATTTATGTATCCAAGCATTCCATAGGTTATAGCAAATTTACCATGCTGCTAGAATCATTTTCCATTTTCTGTTATTTTAACATCTCTGTTCATATATGATTACATGACTCAATAACTGAAAATGAGTCCAATTACTTATAATCCTATTTTTATTCTCATCTTTCCTCTCTTGTACATGGGAATTCTATAGAAAGAACAAAAATAAAAATAATTCCTACTGTATCATCAAAGAAAATTTTGTGTTATTTTCATTGGCTCAAGAACTAACACCAAAACCTGACACAAGAATTAACAAAGATATTTCACTGTAATTAATGGAATCATTCACAACAGTTTTTTTATTTTTTTATTTTGTACATAAACGCATAAGTTTTTATAACATTTGTAAAGAAATTGCTTTATATTTCTTTAATGTTTTGACAAATATTTTAAAACCGATGCAATAGATAAAATTTGGTTTATTGAATTATATATTTATATTTTTTCCAGATCATTTACTTGTTAAGAAAATATTCACTATGTCTTTCCTCTTGGATTAGCATTTATTGATAATGGATATACAAATATTACTTATGGGTTCCACTGTCATATTTAATAGTTTCTTGGAGTGTCTATAGACATACTTGGATTGTTTTTAGGGTATTTGCATGCTGCATTTAACTCGTTAGATGGAAGTAGTGATTATCCTCTGATAAGATCTGTTCAGAACAGATGGTGCTAGTGGGATTATAACTGACTTCACTCTACCAATATTATCAAGTGCTAAGTTTCTCTTTTGCTCCAAAACCTCTTTTTTATTTTTCTTTGCATCAACAGCTTTATTTTTCATGTGTCAGCAGTCTCCTTCCCCTCTAACTCTGTCATCAGTGTTGTACACCACCTGCATCTGACTTTCTTGGTGATCATAACTCCCTACATCTCTCTACAGATATATATCACCACTGCCTCTTTCTATGGGTATCATCCATGCCTGCCTCTCTCAATGAGGCATTATACATCCCTGCCTCTTTCAACAGGGTGTCATTCCGCACTCTTGCCTCTCTCAATGAAGTGTCATTCCATAGCCCTGTCTCTATTAACAGAGTGTCATTCTGTACCCCTGTCTCTATTAACGGAGTGTCATTCTGTACCCCTGTCTATTAACGGAGTGTCATTCTGTACCCCTGTCTCTATTAACGGAGTGTCATTCTGCTCCCCTGTCTCTATTAACGGAGTGTCATTCTGTACCCCTGTTTCTATTAATGGAGTGTCATTCAACTATGTGGTGTCATCTTCTCTCTACAGTGTCATTCCCCCACCACCTCTCCCAACAATAATGCATTTCCTTGCCCCCACCCATCTTTCTCTGTTATGTAGTCTTTCCTCCTCCCACCTCTCATCATCGTCTATGCTCCCCCTTGCACTTGTCTCTCTCGACAATGTCAGTACACCTCACGCTCCTCTCTTTCTCCCTCATGTTATTCCTCTCAGCCTTTTTTTCTTTCGCTTGTCGGTGTCATTCCTCTCTTTCGCTTGTCGGTGTCATTTCTCTCTGCCTCTTTCACTTGTCTGTCATTCTTCTCTGTTCCATACACTTCTCTCTTCATTTCATTCAACAGTTTTATCATTATCATTTTCCAACCAGTTCCTTCACTGTGTTGTTTTTTTTTTTTGTGTTTTTTTATATTCTCCCCCACCCCAACTATTTTATTGCCTTTTTCTAGACCTTTGTGTTTCTTCTCCTGGTTCTCTTTTTCATAGTCCTTTTTTACCTTCTTCTACCATTCAAAAGTTTTATTTTTTTATCTTAAATTCTTACTTTAGGCAAAGTACTTCTGGTAAAAAAATATTACAGCAAATTAAAACACTCTTAGTAGCAAACTCATTGTAAATCTATCTCTAAAGCAGAAAGTAGAATACTTCACCAATATATCTGTTTACTGCTAGATCATTAAAGCCATAACATGCTAAATGAATAATAGTAAAAAATCTTTAAACTTTTTTATTTATTTTTTTATTTATTTATTTATTTTTTATTTTATAAAATTCCTTGGTATAAATGTATGGAAACTACAAAGCCTAAATCAGAAGAACCTAAACTGTTTTATATTTGCTTGAGTTTGTAAACTTGTTTCTAGCCACACTTGTGATATTTCACAGTAGTTTGTATGTTTACTTTTAGGTAGTCATATGCCATAGTTGGTTAAATTATATAATTGTTATTCTTGGCTAACACATCCAGAAACTGAAGCTGTAATAATTTACTTTATAACTCATCTAATCTATATCTAGATATAATCTGTCATGTCCATAAAAAAAGAAAATATATAAAATTTAATTATAGTGTCAAAAAATAATTATAACAATTATAATTGTCATTAATTCACTCATTTTAAACTAATAAGAATCAGGCTCATTTTTCTCCTCTATACACACAAACACATGACATTCTCACTATTGGAACAAGCAGTTCACATAGACTGGTCATTAACATGTATATCAACAAAAATTTCATCTCCTTTTCTTTTTCAGGCCATAATAATGACATTTATCTTTTATCACTTAACAAAAATTTGAGGTAAGAAAACCCCCAGACACTTCCTGTATTTTCTAATTATCTGGACACTTGTTACAAAACTTACAAGAAAGGCTGTATACACTTTACTTATTCTTTATCTTATCATTCTGTCAGATTTCAATCCATATTCAATCTACATTTGTGTGCATTGTTCAAATCTTTTCATGGTAAGTAAAAAAGAAATTGGATTACTATATTATACTTTTTTTTTTTTTTAATTAATCAAAATAACAATTTAAAAATATACTGTGTGAACTGCCAATCTTATAAGCATTAAAGTTTTTGAACTTTATTTGTTTATATATGAATCAGTGATAATTAGTGTCACTGACTTGACATGAGTAATAAGATCTAAGCTCTGTAGCCCTATAATATATTGAACAATATTTACAAATCTGATTATGAGTGCATGTGTCTGTGTTATATAAATTTAAGATTCTCTGTGAAAATATTTTTAGTCTGTTGTTTTTGTCAAAATTTAGCTCCTTTTATTCCTATGAGAAATCTTTTCCAAAACTAAATCTACCACTATTCACGTTTCCTATGGTTAAAACAATGCAAGTGATAGCACATGAATTTCATTTAACTTTAAAGATCTGAAAGCTATGACATTTTCTTTTAATACTAACAATTCCCTCAAATGCCCTATTCTTCTGAATTGTCTTGGGTTTATGTAACGCTTTTGCAAACTTTTTAGTTTTGCCCTAAATTCACTTGGAAATTATTATACTTCATAAAATCTCCTAAATAAGTGTTAACAAACTTCTTTCTCTTTACTATCTAAATATGTTCTGTACAGTGACTTTTTTGAATATTATTGATAAATAATCCCAGGTGCTACTAGAATAGAATTGGGGTTTAGTTTTCAAGCAGCTGAGACATAAATATCCCCTCATAAAATATCTCATGTATGACATCTTCACTAGAATTACCACTTAACATATTCAGTCTTTTGTCTGATTGAAGCATTCACCATTCTGGATTCACCATAACCAATCATATACTGAGTTTTCTGCACTTAGCTCTATCATCAGTCTTTACCTCTCTTCTGCTTTCTTTTCTCACCCAGTTGTTTTATAATTACTGGTTTTATATACATCAACCTTGACTTTGTTTTACACTTATAGCCCTTAAAACTAGAGTTTTAAATGCAATACTTAACAATTTCACACCCTTCTTAGTTGTCCCTCTCCATCCACTAGCAATGTGCAGTTGTGCTCTTTTTGACTAAAATCTTAAATATTCCTTTTTTTTTTTTTTTTTTTTTAACTTTATCATGTGACATTTTTTAAATTATTAATTGATCTCTAAATCAGATATCCAAGTGTTAAAGAATTTGAAAACACAAAATCAGTTCTAGTAATAAATATTAATACTTTAATTACCATAAGAAGGTTTTCATATGTTTAAATTTATATTTTATTTACTAAATCATAGAGGTTGTGAAGCTCAGTTGATTTTTAATTATTTAAATATTACAACTAATCAGATAGCTGTTATCTTGTAATCCTAGCTTCACTATAAAAAATAATTTCTAATTTGTTAACTTTCTCGAATTATTTTTAACATAAGGGCTGTATTTTAAAACTTTTTTCTTCATTAAACATAGTTTGTTTTTAAAAATGATAATGAATTTTCAAATTATCGAAAATTTATTACTAGTAAATTAGTAAATGAAATATTGGAAAAAAACTTTTTCTTTGTAAATTCTCTACAAAGATCTTAAGTCATCAGAGAATAATAAAGTCATAAAAAGTAATTTCTTTTTTACATTATTGATTTAAAATATGTGATAAAAATATTTGATTCTAAAAAAAAATCATTGCTTATATTCAAGGTATGGCATAAACAATAATTTAAGCCAATTAAAACACAGCAGTTATAGATGACCACTGTTGAAAAATTGATTTTTCAATTAAACAAGAAACATACATCAAATATAGGATTACAAAGATAATTTAAGGCACTCCTCAAAATCTGTGGGTTAATATTGTGATCATAAATTCTAATATTGTTTAGAGAATAACCTAGTATATGGATCAATGCAAATTTTCTGGAAAGGTATAAGAAGGTTTTGTTTTTTTTAGTTTGAAATATATCCATCAGTTGCTTAGTAAGCATTTAGTTTTTAATTGCAGCAGGATGTGAAGTTGTTCTGCTAATAATTTTCATCAGAGAAACAAAGCTATAATAAAATATCTCAGAAGTCAGCTCATTTTTGCTTTGTAAACTTTATTTGTCAGGCATCAATGTTGTAAACTAATTCCTAATAATCGGATGCTGGCTAGTGTTTCATTTAATTTGGTAGAGTTTGAGTAGCTTCTGGGAGCACTTTTGAATAAGAAAATATGGACTATAAAAATATAAATTTACAAATATAAAACTGGAATGCATATTTCTTCCAAAACCTAATTTTTTTTATCTGCAATAACATAGGGACTAAAGTATTTCAGAATGGAGTTAATGAATTATCTAACCTTGATAATTAGCAAATACTTCAATTTTTTTCTGTCAGTTCACAAAGGGACCAAACTTATTTTTACCAAAAACCTCATTTATTTATTCACAATAGTTGCAGTGAGAATTTAATTGTGTTACTTGTAACTTGGTATAGGCCTCTTAATTTAATTGGTTACAGATTTGTACATGGTATTTCAAGTGTCTATAATTGTTTTGTTTGTGATTGAGCTTCATTTGCTTTTGTTGAGCTTCATTTAGAATTTTATTTGAAAAAATGTTTCAAGTAGACAATTTAAAAACAAAAAAAATTGTTCATAGGCATTGTTTGTTCATTTGCATATTGCTTCAATATCCATTTGATGCTGTTTTAACTCCTATAATAGCTGTTAACATGTGTATTGAAACCAAGCATTAACAGAAATATCTTTAATTAACAATTTTATTAGGCAATCTGCATTAGAATAGTCATTCAAGGATATCAAAAATCAGTGGTGGTGTCGTCAATTTGACCTAGTTTCATGGTTCATTTGCCCAAGCACTTTCTGCATAGGTTGTTTTCAAACTCTTTCAGATTGCTGGCTCAACAGAGCCAGTAACATTTTGGATGCAGTTTAGTCTCTAAAAATGAATACCTAGTCATGTATACATGCTGGGTTAGTAAAGTGGTAAACATTGAACACTCTTCAAGTTCAAATCTTGCCATCTGTGTGCTTCAGTGCCTCACATTTTATTATTGTCAGAAAGATTCATTGTAGTGACAAGATTACTGCTATGAACACAATCTTGGTGTATTAGTATGTCAAAGCAAAAACTCAGGGCCTCTTTTACTTGTTTGAGTTATCAAGCAATATTTGATCTATCTTTACCAGGAGCCTGTTCCCACAAAGCTTTCATTATCAATGACCATTGAATGGAACATTTTATGGAGAATCTTTTTGCTCATATTCTGCGAGGTATATTTATAGGTATGTAAAGGATAGTTGAGGGTGTTCAACATGCTGTTTCTTGTACAATTGACTTTATCCTTTTCACTTGTTCTTTTCAAAATTATCTCTTCATTTATGTCTGACTCTTTATCATACTCTTGGCTAAGGATGTAATTTTTGAGTCATCCCTTTACTGTCTATTTGTGCACTTTGTTCATTCTATTTATTACTCCTCTCTTCTTGTAGGAAAGAACTTTATTTTCAGTCATCACTGTCTCTCTAAACCTGCAGCCACCTTGTAATCTACCCTAGACTAGATTTATAAAACCTTCAAAATAGTGTTTACATATAAATGTTATAAGTCTTGTTTAAAGAGTTGACAACATTAACTGTAAATATTATACAATAAAGATTATTGTAATACTTATTTGATCAACCTCTTGTTACAATCATCTCTTTTCAGTCTTTTCTATAGAAACTTATTTGACCGCAATAGAAAAAATAATATTATTGCTTATCTGTTATGAACAAAGCATATTTAACATGTTTTTTGTTATTCTCACTGATCATCATTTTATTTTTTTTGTATGTATGTGCATTAATGTATTAACAAAGTTTGCAGTTTTAATAACCAGTAGATTGGTTTTTATTCAAACAAAACCAATTGACTCACCTTACTTTGATATTGCTTTATTTCCTGCTTAGTGGTAATTGCTCTGTTAAGCATTTCCTTGTTATCACATCATTTATAAGGAATTCATGAAGTTTATCTTCTATGTCATTATCATTCTAAGAAACATTTATAATAAGCATTTTTTAAAAGTTAGGATATTGAAATAATTACATTGGATAGGGATGTAATTTTAGTTTGGAATTGGGCCCTAACTCTAGACCACTAAGTAAGAGTTGAACTAACTGCACTAATAAATGGATTGCAAGCTATCACTCTAAGGCAGATACTATTTCAGTTTTTATTTTTTGTTTTCTATGAGTTTAAAAATATTAACATTTTAATATTTTGAATATAAAGCTAGACAAAAAAAATTAATTTTCTCTTTGTGAATAAATTGTTTATATAAATCTTTTCCTGTTAATATTTCTAAAGAATCTTGCAATGCTCATTTGGAAAATTGCATTGAAAACTTAGTGAAACAAATTTTATTTTTAATTTTACTTTTTTTATATGATTATGAAATACATATAATTTGATATTTGTTGCAATGACAATGTCAGATATGGCACAAGCAATTATCTTTTCTCTTTCCATGATGGAGGGCTTAGTTACCTCCTTTGTAAAATGGACTGAACCTTAAAGCTTTTGTTCTGTTCCATCTTCATTCTCTCTCACTCTTACTGTTTTTCTTTTGAATTCTTTACTTGATTCATTATTGAATCCAACCAAGTAAATTAGATGACTTTCTTAGAGCTTTTTAAATAACATTTTAAAAATAAAAGGTGCTATACTTTAACTTGAACCATCAGCTGACTAAATCTGTAAAGTATTTGTTATTTAAATCATGAAAAAAACTAACATGAGCCAGTTTTTCATACAAGTGAAAAGTAATTTGAATTCTAATATATATATATATATTTTTGTCACATGTTCAAAAGTGTATATAAATAAATATATATATATGTATAATTATATATTATATACGCGGGTACTTATTAGAAAGCGCTCAATATCAGAGATAGAGCTAACATATACACTATATACACTTTTCATAACAAACTCACATCTATCAACCAAATATATATATATATATATATATATATATATATATATATATATATATATATATATATATATATATATACACACACACACACTAAAAAAATTGTGTTTTTTTTTTTTTTTTTTTAAATTGATCAAAGTGTATTTCTACAGGATAACAATTTTAAGGCCAGTCTTTGTAATTAAAAGTGCTCACTATCAAGAGATGGAACATAATGGCAACAAATAAATAGTAAAGGTTTAATAAGGTTTGATTTTACTATCAAATCCTCTGAAAAAGTGGATATCATATATAAAAATACCAAATAGGGAAATGATAAGATGAACATTTAATTTCCTTTGTTGCTATATAAATATATAACATATTGGCAGCAGGAATTTATTCATACATAGTTTATTAAATTTAAAATGAGATTTGTCTGTCCATTTTCTAATCGATTTTTTCAAAGCACTGTGTAAGATGCCATAAAAAATGGGTCATATATTATGAAGAAACTGTCCAATATTCATAAGGTTTGGGGTTTTACTACATTAAATACAATATCTTTTATCATAGGGAAATTTAAAAAAAATGTTTTAGTATTTTAAAAATTAATACTTTTGGTGGTGTTTCATTCTGTAATCTCTAACATGCATTTTTTAACTATATTCTTATGTGAGTTACAAATTTGTTTTTTACACATCATTTGCATGTGTGATTACAAATGCATCTAAAATTAAAATTATACCTTTTTTCAAATACTTCGGAATGAAAATTAATCATAACTTTCTTGAATTGTGTAACTGACAGTATATACATTAACCATTCTTGATAATGACAAGCAATGGTTGAAAGTAGTGGAACCCAAACCACTATGGACTTAGGATAATTTCTTCATAAGCTTGATTCAGCTTTTACAGCAACTCATTTGTGAACTAGAAAAATATCCTTGAAAATTAAACAGACAAATTCTGTCTGT